TAAGAGGGCAATCGAGCTGATTCTGATTGCGGTTCGTATTGGAAGAGCTCCAATGCTCACAGTAGTAGGCGATTTTTGAACTTCGAAAGTACAAACTACAAAGTATCTCGGATTGCGGCTATATTTTATCGACGAGAGCTTTCAGCTGAAGTCGATACTCCTCGGAACACGTCACTTTAATCCACAGTACGGTGAGCGCAAAGGCGGTATCCGCGGCCCATTTCAGCGCTGGATCGGTGATATTCTACGCGACTTTGGTCTGTCCCGTCGAGACTTGTTTGGCGCCACGTCAGATGCTGGATCCGACGTGAAATGGATGATGCAGGAGGGTCTAAAGCTAAACTGGCAATGGTGTATACCGCACATGACCAATGCGGCTACTAAGACTGCATGTGGTATGGTGGCGGACGCGTCCAAATCTAAACCCCCCGCCATGACAGATTTGACTCGCCGCATTGTCAAGACCGTCTACACAGTCAAGCATGTTGAAGTTATGGGTACACTATTTGAAGAGCTGTGCGTCTTTGGAAAGAGTAAGCAATTCCCCATCAGCTGCTGGACTATCGAGCACATCGATTTTTGGGCCTCACGCGTGTCATCATACGAATTCTTAACCTATGGGAGCCTCTAGTGACGTGGTATGCTGAGAGACTTGACAAGGCGCGAAAGGATCGTGCTAGTCTTCCTGCCGGATTTCCACTGGAGCGGGATTATCAGAATCTCATTCCAATCCTGTCGATTCTACAGCCTATAACGTCTATAAGCACTAAGGCTCAGGCTGAAAGTGCGAATCAAGTTGAGGTTCTATCGACTTTGTATAAGCTGCGGGTCACCGTCCTGGACAGTTCAAAAGCGCTTCGTGATTTTCGCTCTACTAAAGAGCGCCCAATGGCCTTCCGACCTGAGGATCTTACCCTTCTAGCATCCAACACACGCACGCTTGTTCACGACGCGTTTCGTAAGCGATTTTTTTCGCGCTACACGGACCGAATTTTTTTTATCAAGTGATCATTTGTATTGAAGATGCAGCTCTTCCTACACCCCAACTTAAAAAGTTTCGACGGGTTTCTCAAGCGGGTTATTCAGTTGTGCAATGCTGATTCGAGTGGTGTCGCCACAGCAGGGGATCGACAATTCACCAAGATTAAAAGACGATTTATGGCAAGGTCCGGTCGGTTATGGTGGCAGTGGCCGCCCCGGAGGAAGTACTGCCATCCCCACCAGTTGATGATCAGCCTCCGGCACCTTCAACGCTTTTCTCCGAGGACCTCATGGAGCTATTTGCCGATGTTATCGACACAGATCCAGCCGAACCTGAGTCTACCCAAGATCTAAATTCTACTCGTATTGACGAAGAATTGGAGAGATGAGAAACAGCCCCTACCTCTCCCCAGATCAATGGCGGTCGCCCTGAGACCATACTAGAGTTCTGGAAACGTCAAGCAGAGACTGGTACACACAAGTTTCTTTCACTCGTAGCACGAATTTCGTTCGCCAATCTTCTACTTCCGCTCAAATCGAACGCGACTTTGGAACAGTGGAGCTGGTAACCCCGCAACGAGGTCCCATAGCACCTCATAATGTGGATATGTCGGCATTTCTAAACTGCAACAGGCAGTTCGTGGATGTGACGCAGTGTCCAAAGATTCACGTACGTGACATCGACAAGTTTATCCTGTCGAACATCAAGGTGGAAATGGAGGAAGACGACGCAGAGGGTTGTGAGCTGTTGAGCGGGTACTTTTCAAGTGACAGTGAGGAAGATATCGAAGATGCAGAGACGTAGATAGCTGAATATTACGTATAAGAATTAGCCATGTCATTACCCATTAGTATATCTTCTTGTCCTAATTTCCTCGTCTGTCTGAGTTTAGTGACTCGCATGGTCAAGCAAGAATTCTGCAAGTCGCAATGCCTGTTCTGCTCTCATTTTCATCTTTGTTTTTCTCTCTTCAGAGCGAGGCTCCTGGTTCGCTCTACGGGCTGTCGTCTGGAGTGGAAGTCTTCGTGAGCTTGTTTTGGTAGTGAACTGGGTTTCGTAGTATTGATTTTTAGACCCCGAGACCTCGCCAACGCACGTGCAACAACCTTTTGTTGCTCGGATCGGCGAACAGATTGCAGATCGATACTTAATTTCATGTCTTGTTCGCAGGTCGGCTTAGGATACCGCATTAGTTTGTGTAGTCCCTGCGCATCTTCGGACACTTAGCTTGATTACTTCCATTTAGTTTGCCCACATGAACGCTGCTGATGTGGCTCTCCTTCTCTTCATCAAGCGACATAGAAGCTGCAACTATAGCTGGGGGCATCGAGGACGTGGTACGATCTATTGCGCTGTCTTCGCCACCTGATCGTTTATCTCGGACCGCGCTACTTCTGTGGTGTAGCGGGATCAGCAAAATCTGCGAGATAGCTGGATCCAACTTACCAACTGCGCCCAGACACCGACTAACGGAGGGGGTCCCCCGATGATCCGTGTTCTGCTGAACTTTCCTCACCTTGTGTACCCGTCGGTAGGGCGGGATCTTGCTCTCTCGGTAACTTCCGAAGAGTTCAAGTGGTGAAGCTTGAGTGTCTTGGCGAGACGTGGGGATGGGGTGGAGCAGCAGTGGAAAATCTTCACTCTGCGTCCGGGGATGGTTCCGTATCCTAAGCGAATATTCGAGCTTATGGATCCGGGGCCTAGATCGTGGATCTGGTCGTAGGGTTGCCTTTCGGGTGTGTTCCCTTGCTTTTGTAGTTCCTTTGCGTTGTACTTGCCGCCTCCTGTGACGGGATCTTGAGAGTTAAGATCTTCTAGGGTGTAACCGACCAAGTAGTAATTCGGTTAACCTGTTTGATCTGCACGTGTATAGGAAAAGCTCACTAGGTTGTAGGATCTGGCCAATGTATTATCCAGTTATCACTACCAACACTAGGTTCGCAATTCCCAACCTTCTCCGAGCTCGTACGGCCAATGTAGTTCCGGTTCTTGAGGGCAGGAAGGCACTTGCGTGTTATTGTGCAAATAGAGGTCTGTATTGATACTTAAGCCTATACCTGCCTGGATTTCTACCTTCTATATCTTTCACTCATTAAATCCCTTACCAGGCTCGGCTGCATGTCCCTTCTTCCCTTGACCCATCATCCCAGCTGTATTATCTTCAGATCCACCGGATCCATGACGTAATCATTATGGTCACCCTATTATAGGTACACTAATCCGGATCCAGGTCGCTCGGATCCACTTCACTGTAAGTGTACACTGGCCGTGGATCCGAGCTCCCCAATCATCCAACATCATCTTGCAACCGTCTGTGATCTCTAGTAGTGTGAACGTTCAGTTGAACCTCTGATTACGACTGGTGCGTTCAAAGTTCAGCTGAAGCACCTCGGAACCTCCGTGAATCTCCGCGGTAGTTTATACTTAAAAATTCTATGCCGTCTATTTTCAATAAAACTCTCAACAGGTTTAGCATGAAGACATGTACGAGCATACCAGCATTCGCTGACGTCTCCAACAGCGACACGAGGTTGGACACCACCGACTTGTCCACTGTCACCATGTCGCTGATGGCTTGCCGTTCGACGCGTCCAACTCCTTCGCGTACATCGTGCTCCGTCAGGTCGCCGCCCGACGTGCTGCCTCCCACAGGACCTGCATACCACCATTACCAATGTACGCCAGATGAGGAGCGCACTCTTTCGTGTCCGTGCCGTAAATAGAATGATGTTCACGGTGGATGCGGCGCTCAAGGTGAAGTGGATCAGGTGCACCTTGGCGTTGTCGCCGTTTTTGTTGGTCTCCGTGGCCCAGTACTTCTTGCTCGACGCACTCGAGTCTAGCGCGATGTCCAGATTCGACGCCGCCAGGACTGATGTGGAGGTTGCTGTCCGGCTTGCAGAGAGCTGTGGTGTTGGAGTAAGATGACTACGTGGCTATGGTGACTGAAGTTTCACCGGAATGGAGACTTATTCGACCTTGTGGCTCCCGCGTCACTCATGGCGACGAGATGGAGATTTGTTCCTCGCACTGGAGCTTTTCTCTGTTCGGAAGCAAGATACCGCTGAAGTACGTCTGAAACTGGAGATATACGTGACTCGAGTTTGTGAAGAGGAAAGTGGATACGCGCATCCGCTAGTCATAGTGGCTATTGCCCGATTGGCTTTTCGATCAAGTCGAGCTAAAACGTCGGATATTCAGCACAAATTGCTGGGGATTTTTACCCAGGAGCTGCTACTTTATGGCTGAATGAAGACGAAGCGCAGCATATCCAGTCAACGGCTAGTGTATCAACTGGATCCGGCTCGATTATCTCTGGACCAGCGTCTGTGGAGGATAAATGGAGTCTTTGAAGAGTCAATATGGCTGTCGCTCGGAATCTATAGAAAATCTACTGAATTTGGTGGGCCTGAAGAAAGTGAAGCAAGCTGCTGTAAATTTATTTAAGAATGCAATGGCCTTACAGCAATTGTCGGCCACGCAACGGAAGAAAAACTTGATGGGGTTCAACTACAGCGTTGTAGGGAAACCTGGTACTGGGAAGACGACAGTGGCGCGATTGTTTGCTAATATCCTATATTAAATATCATAAGATTTTTACTCACTATACCCTCCACACTTAAGGCGATCGATACACTTCCAATTTTCTGCAATGAAAACAAGATCTTGGACCATGGTAGCCTTCAGTGAGCTTCTCTTCACCGTTATGACGTTCCCACTTGTCGAAAAAGCACGTTCTGACGGAACGCTTGTCGCCACGGTCCCTAGCCATTTCCTCGCTAGTCTGCGCAAGTTGGGGTAGTCATCTCTATTCGCCTTCCACCACGTGAAGGGATTCAGGTCATTTTTCACGGTAACAATGCACTCTAAATAGCGAGTGAACTCCCTTTTGCACTCTGTTTCTAAATCTGTGGCTGCGATTCGAGAAATATTCGGCCCGAAGAGATGATGGATCATGTCATTCCGTTGCTGCTGCTCCGCTTCTTCGATGGGTGTTTGGTGACGGGGATGCGTTCGTTCAGGTGGTAGCTTTCGTTTGCCAGCTGCACCATTGCCTGTACAAGTTCGTTGCTTGCATTTGGCTTGTCGATAGGACTTAAGTGAGACATCCACTTTCCTACACGCGGATCCAAGTACGCAACCCACCTAAGCTCGCTTTTCTCCAAGTCCTCGAATCTTTTAACGTACATTGTTAGCATTCCCTTTCTGCAGTCGCTCATCATTAACACCGTTTGAGCCACGTACGCTTCGTCACCGGCTTCTGCCGCAAGACTGAGCAAAAGGAGATTCAGTTTTTCTCCAAAATGCTTTTGGAATACCGGGATAACACCAGGGGAGAACCCAGCGGGCATCGTAGGATTAAGTTTGTCCCACCTAGTGTTTTCTGAGGCAACGGGCAAAACGGCCCCCAGCAGAGCTCGCAAGCACTTTATAGTGAGCCATTCCTCGGCAGTTGGACGATATAATTTTCTTGCCACATCTTTGAACTCTCGGATACCTTCAGGATTTTTCAGGTACGTGAAAAACTTCACTAGAGCTCCTTCCAACTCTATCATTCTTTGGAGCATTTGCCAGCAACTATTTCCATCTGTGGCGCAGGTCGACAATAGGCTTCTTAACTTGGTGATCTTTGACGCTGAAATGTTTCAATTTGAAGAGCATTTAAATCGGTTACAGCCCTTTGCTGACTTTTCTAAGGTACACAGCAAGCGTCCGGAAGCGCTGAACAATTTCACGTACCCTATCCATCTCATTACGGTGAACCAACTCAATTGTGTCGTTTAAGAACTGCTCCATGTCATCGATTGCAACTTCGCGGAACCCCTCGATTTGGTTCCTGTCATCCACAGTCAGTGAAGCTTCTTCCTCATGTTCCACAACTGGTTCACTGCTTTCGGCAGCAACTTCAGCAGCCCAATCTGGCTCATCGGCGACACCACTCGCCCGTTTCTTCTTAATCATTGCCCCTCCAACGACTAGGTGCAGGCAGTGTGCTAGGCATGACATGTGCTCGACATGTAATAGTTCACCAGCAGCAACCATGTTTGTGCCTCCATCTCTAAAAACCCGGACACAGTAGAGCTTAGACAACTGCCATTCCTCCATAATTTGTTCAATCGCGTCTGCAATGGCGTTTCCATCATGAATGCGGCCAGCTCTTTAACTTCCAGAGTCCAATTCTGAGGGCAAAATTCATCGTCCACGTAATGTATAGTCAACGAAATGTAGCTTTTCGTGTTTCTGGAAGTCCAAATATCACAGGTCATTGAAAAATACCAACATCCCTTCACAATGGCATGTCGTACTCGTTTTTGATACTCCACAGCCAAAGCCACTATTTGTTGTGCGATCTTAGTTCGCTCAGGAAGCCTTATTTTGATTCCACAAAAATCTTCGGTAATGTATCGAATAAATACGACAAATCCAGCATCTTCCACAATCTTCATCGGCCAAAAGTGCCGTGCGATCCACTCAGCAAGAAGAAGATTTACGCGTTTCTGTTGCTCCGCCGAAATGGTACGCAACTGCCTTTTTCCATTATGAAGAGGAACTTGGCCTGTGCTCTGATTTCGCTGCTCCGCTTTGGTGTTGTACACCTTTATCTCTTCAGAATGGTAGATTTCCATATGCTGCGGCAACTTCGACAAGACCAACACGAAACTTAACATTTGCACTGCAAA